GTTGAGGGTTAAATTATAGCCTAAATAGCATATCTGTGTGTGTAGACACATACAGATATTTATGAATTTATTTTACATTCTTTATTAAATTTACTAGAACATAGTTGATACATGGAAAATTTCTCAGGTTATCTTCTTGATGTGTTTGCAATTTCTGTAATTTTAGATAAGGCTACAAATATAAGAATTGTGGAAAAGTTTAAACTCTTTTAAAATCAAAAGTCACCACCATATCAAACTGTTATTTTTGTTTCTATTGATAAAAATGAAGAAGTAATATGCTTCATCATGGGGAAATTTGTACTCAACTATTTTGTGCTTACATCTTACATTTTAAAAAATTACTTATTTGAAAGAGTTACACAGTGAGTAAGAGATCTTCCATCAACTGGTTCATTCCCCAGGTGGCCGCAACAACCAGGGCTGAGCCATGCTGAAGCCAGAAGCCAGGAACCTCATCTGGTCTCCCATGTGGGTGCAGGGGCCAAGAGCTTGGGACATTCTCAGGCACATTAGCAGAGATCTGGATCAACAGTAGAACAGCAAGGACTCAAACCAGTGCCCACTTGGGATGCTGGCACTGCAGGTGGCAGCTTAACCCACTACTTCACAGTGCTGGCCCCAGCATTTTACATTGATAACCTGAATGGTGACTTTATCAATACAAATGCCTTTCTGGGCTGATCAATATTTTTGTTATACATAGAAATCCTATGCTCAAACTACTGACCATGTCTGGCAAAGCAAGTTAAGCTGAGATTGAGTTTGGCGTGCTGTCATCATGTATTGGAGTGCCAGTTCGAATCCTTGCTACTCCACTTCCAATCAAGCTTTATGCTAATGTACCTGGGATGGCAAGGGAAAATGGCCAAAGTCCCCGGGCCCTACCACACACACGGAAGGCCAGAATGGAGCTCCTGGCTTCGGTCTAACCTAGACCTGATTGTTACAGCCATTTGGGGGATGAACCAGCGGATGAAGTATCCGTGTGTGTGTCATTTGCTCACTTGCTGTCTTTCCCTCCCTCCCTCTTTTCCTCTGACTTTCAAATATTTAAGAAAAAGATTAGGCCGCTAGCAGGGAGCTGGATTGGAAATGGAGCCATCAGGACTCAAACCAGACCCCATAAGAGATGCCACTGTCACAGGTGGAGGCTTTACCCTGTATGCCACTTCCAACCTAGCTCCCTGCTGCTGCACCTAGGAAAAGCAACAGAAGATGGGCCAAGTGTTTGAGCCCCTGCCACCCATGGGGGAGTCTTGGATGAAGCTCCTGTCTTCCACCTGGCCCAGTTCTGGGTGTTGAGGCCATCTGGGGAGTGAACCAGTGAATGGAAGATCTCTGACTCTCCCAGTCTGTGTAATTCTGCATTTCAAATAATTAGATCTTAAAAAGGGGACCTGATGGGTGTCCCTGCAAGAAGTGGTGTTTGAGTTGAGATACTGAGGGCGACGAGGAGCTGACAGAGAGAAGAAGGAGGGATAGCCAGCTCCAAGGCCTGCAGGGCTTTTTCAGAGGTGAAGAAGAGAGCATAGTCAAGGCGCGTTCAGGGCAGAGGAGACTGGCATCTCAGGTGGGACCAAGCTATCCAGAAAGTTAAGGCCCAGCTGGAGGCATTTATTAGGAGAATGATATGATCTGATGTAAACTTCAAAAAGTTTATCCTGGCATCTGTGGGAAGCACGGGCTTTGGAGGGAGTGGAGCTGGGGAGGTGGTAGGAAGTTCAGGGGAGGACTGTGTGTTTTGGAACTTGAGCGGGTGGTAGGAGGGTACATTGAAAGGAGGACAAATGCTTATGTCACTTGTTTGTGCTCGCGCTGGGATATGAAAATGCCAGAACGCGAAGAAACATTTCAACAGAAGGAAGTCCTTCCCTGGCTTTGCTGTCCTCACGGTCGGAACTTGGACCTGGCTGACCCTTGTCCTAGACATTCGTCACGTGTGATGCTGGAGAAGAGAAACCTGGGGTTGCTTTGGAGAGGCAGTGCAAATGCGCTCCCAGAAAGAAGGGAGATCAACCCATCCTTTTCTGCATGCGGGACCATGGGTTGAATCTTTCAGAGAGCGGGGGAGGAATGCTCTCTGGCTAAGAGCCAGTGTCGGGAGCCGGGGAAGCCTTCACTGCCCCCTCCCTGGGTCACAACTCCTCTCGAGGATGGTGAGACACGTGGCTGGTGGTGGTGCCTGCATCAAGGTACTCAATCACCGTCTATAGAGGGAACTGAACTTAGATGGGGGCACATAAGAAGGGCAGGGGATAATACACACAGAGATGAGAAATGGAGGACTTGGTCTGCTCTGGGGAGAGAGGGAGGCAGGTTTCTGTTGCAAAGGTGACTTCCACAGAGGGACGTAGTGGGTGCTCAGTGGGTGGTTAACAACACCCCTAAAATACGTGCATTGCCTTTCAACTTCTGTGATTTGAAGGCACAACTATTTGAGTGAATAAAGAACATGAGTGAATATAAAATTCATGTGAGCATGAGATGTTAAAGCGGCAACTTGAGCCTGAATCACAGGTGGCGCCACAGTGCTGATGAGGCTGGCACGTGGTGAGCTGAATGTTGTACCTGTAAGGTGGGTGGTGCACACAGAAATGCAGACTGAACTTCCGTGTGTCGCTGTGCTTGGTGCTGCTCTCTGCACCAGTGGGGGCCACTTGGACATTGCATTTATTACAGAAAATTGCAGTAACCCCAAATAAAAACCCTCATTTGAAAGTCATCCAAAGTGCCTGTGTAACTGGAAACTTCGAAGCGGGAGAGGCTAATTCATGAAGCATGCATACATTACTCTCTAAGTGTTTTCAAGTCTGTTTCTTCTCTCTGCCTGTTTATAGTGTGATATTAATAAATGCGGCATTTTAATGAGCATTGACTGAACTCGTCAGACTCGGAGCACTGGGCTCTGTGGAGGCTCAGCACTGCGACTCGCCATTCCTGGAGAGGAGCGTGCTCCTCATTAGCTGGGACAGCCAGGGGCTCACTTGAGAGATGGAAGCCACTGCGGAGCCCACCGCGGCCGTGTCTGGCCTGCTGTGTGGCAACCCCAGGGCTTTCATTAAGAGTCAGATGGCTTCCTCAGAGCACGTGCTGACGGCACGTCACATTGCTTGTCTGGGGGCTTGGCGCTGACACCTACTAACAGTCTGACAAACGGTTAAGTAGCTGCTGCGGTGTGGGTGGCGGAGCCAGGCGTGTGTTACACCTGAGCGGGAAGCCAGGAACACGTGGCCTTGTCATGCTCATGACTTTGAAGGGGGAACATGTGGTCTCACAGTGGAGGCCTCCCCTCATCCAACCCGAACCCTGAGCTCTGTAGCACCCATTGCCCAAGTCACTTGACCTGGAAGGAGCAGAGCTTTTTGCAGACAGATTTTTGTCTTAATTTGATTTTTGACTGCCCAACACCTACAGCCTCTTCTGTGTTTGGAACGTTTCCTGTTGTGCATTTTGGAGAGAGGGGCAGAGCCCATGCACAGAAGATGCAAAGCTGGAATGCCCTGAGCCTTGGCAGTTCCCCACTTGGTTCTTTTCTTGACAAGGTGGGTGCCAAGGTGAAGCTGGAACCGAGATTCCGTGTCAGAGGCTGCTGGTCAGGGCCCAGGAAACGTCGTGCCTTCTGTGCCCAGCATTCTTGGAAGCAGTGGCCACAGCAGCTTTTGCTGGGGTGGGATATAGGCTCCGCTTCATGTGCCTAAGTGATTTTTGTTTTGGTTATGGTCATTTCTTCAGGCTGATTTCCAAGCCTTTGCAGTAAGTCTGAGGGCTGTTTGATATCATTTTAATAAATACCTTTTCTATGAAATCTAGACAAGGGCTATTTCCATTGTTGGAAGCTAAGAACCTGAGCTCATTCATTTATGACCAGGGCTTGGTTATTTTCTTTTGGTAAATGACTTAACAGTGGTGACCTAAAAGCTTTGGCCAGGCATTGAAGTGTCCAGGCCGTGAGTGAGTGGAAGGGAAGGCCCTGTTTAATCCTGACCCTCACCTAGGCATCAGCTCTTCTCCTTTGGTGAAGTATCCTCCACACACAGGCTCCTGGTGTATTCGGAGCTCCTGGCTATTAGTGAATCAGATGCGGGCTCACTGACCTGAATGCGGGGCCAGGAGGTCAAGAGGCTTGAGCACTCTGAGTCAGGCCCTGGCCCAAGACTCCTTGGCTGTTTGTTGGAGAAGCGTCTGTCCTCGTGCCCCCATTAATTTAGCACTTGCTGCTTTGTAAAGTGCCAGTGTGCGGTGAGGCAGGCATTGCCTTCGTGCAGTATGGGTGTTATGGAGTCGTCCGTCCACTCCCTGACAGTTCCAACTCTAGGGCTCTCTGCCAAACCCAGTGCTTGGAAACCCTTAGATGCAACTTTGAATGTAGGCTTTTACTATTTTATTTTTACCCTTTGGTCATCACTTGGAGGCTGTAGGGGACACTGTAAAGGCGGGAGCTCAGCCCCTTGGACGTGAATGACAGGCGTTACCTGATGGAACGATGCCTCTAAGCTGCGCAGGTCACGCTCTTCACAACGTCCTGTGTGCCTGGGGCCACACGAGCCTGTGGCCATTCAAGCTCGGCTCTTGAAGGCCATTTTATACACTTTCTCTTACTCCTCCCAGAGCCCCTTGGAAGCCTTTAAGTTGTCATCCCAGTTGTAGAAGAGCAGGTGTCTGTATTGATGAAAGGCACGTTTAGGAAGGAGCGAGGCTGCATCTGTCAACAAAACGAAGTGGGTGCTGTCACAGGCCAAGCTGACGCCCTGCCTCCCACGATTACGTCTCGGTCACACGTCAGCCTGCAGCTGCTGAGTCTGCAGGACCAGGGTTTGCAGGCTCCGCCCTCCACTGTTGCCACCCAGGGCTCCACGGAGCACATGGCAAGGGGAGGACTCCTTTCCCCACTCTAGCAAGCAGCGTGCCGTTGTTACACAGTGTGTGGCTTGTGCTCAAGTCGCTTTCGAACCCTTGGGAGATTCTTTGCCTCTCACCCATGTCTGTTTTCTCTCCAGGCAAGAGTGACCCTTTCTGCCTGCTGGAGTTAGGCAACGACCGGCTTCAGACGCACACCATTTACAAAACCCTCAACCCCGAGTGGAACAAAGTTTTCACGTTGTAAGTGCTGTGGCCCCTGGGCTGTGGAGGAGCAGCTCCGTGTTGGAGAGGGCTCATGCCTGACGAGCGTGGGGCAGCCTGGGTCTCCGGAGTAGCACCTGTCCATGTCTAGTGCAAGGAGTGAATTTTATTGTTTTGTTTTTCCTTCTGGAAAACCTTTTATCTTTTTAGAGAGAGTGGTGTTAATAATAGAAGAGACCATTCGAACCACAAGGAGGCCTTTGTAAAACAGATCTCAGTGACTAAATTAATCTCTGTGTGGCCATCTATCTAGATTCATTCATTCCTGGGTTAAGGCGTGTTACAAGTGGAGGCCTACCTTAGATTCAGGGAGCTCATAGGCTGTGATATTGTTTGAGTGCCCGAAAGCTTGCATTCTGCTCAGTCTTTTAGAAAATACAGGTGATCTGAATCCCTAATGACAGTCATAAGCTCCTCATCTCTAAGTCTGAGTTACCCACATCGTCATAATTCTCTGCCTACTCTATGAAACTCAAGTAATTAGGAGGATGGGCATATTTAAGTTTCCTAATTTGCTTTAGTGTTCAAAGCAGCTGACCATCAAGGGAAGGCCCTAGTTGAATGTGGGTGGAATGGTGGCCCCTGCTCCTGCGAAGCAGAATTGATGCTATGTGTACTTGAAATGGAGTTGATGGGTTAGGAGCATGTTCAAGGCTCTGAGAGAAGCAGATTCACTCTGCTGAGCAGGTGTGCCTGCCAGCAGATGTAAGTCCCTCCTTCTGATCAGTAGGTAAAATAGTCTCTAAATGTGCCTGGGAATTTTTATATCTTGTGTTGCAAAAATAGATGATTTTGATGTATCTCAATGAATTGTGATTTTCTACCCACCCCCCCGAAGGAATTCATCAATTTAAAGAAAGCTCGCTCGCTCTCTCTCTGTCTCTCTCTCTCTCTCTCTCTATATATATATATATATGTATTTTGCTCCTTTCACTTGGAAGTGACTGAAATAACTTTATTTTCATCTTCTCTATTTCTCTCCCCTTTCCTTTCTTTATCCTGTTTCTTTAAAAGTCCTACTCTTGAGTGTGTGTATTTACGGAAAATGTCAGAGTGAAAGGGTTGACTTTCGTGTGTGTGTATGGATGTCTGAATTGTCTGTGATGGAAGGTTTGGGAATACAGTCAGTTTGATTTAATTTTTAGAATTTAATTAAATGGTACTTTTATACTCTAAGGACACACAGACTTAATTAGTGAAACAGTGTTTTCAGATCTTCATGGAACAGACTTCGCTTGTGTGTGTTTGTGTATGAGACATGGTGTTTCTTGTTTCAGCCCCATTAAAGATATCCATGATGTTTTGGAAGTGACAGTGTTTGATGAAGATGGAGATAAACCCCCCGATTTTCTTGGAAAAGTTGCCATTCCCTTGCTGTCTGTAAGTTTCCTTTGTTAATAAATAATTTGTGAGTCATGCTTTACGGTTGAGTCTCCATGGTCTCGGGTTGCTTCATCTTTTGTTAGTCTGGAGGGAAAGAACCTCCTGGCAATAGCAGGAAATTACTGTTTTGTTTTTCTTTATTTTTATTCTGTGTTTTCCATAGTTTCTGATTAAAGTAGTATGATGCTTTTCTGTATCGTTCCAAAGTTGATTCAACCAACCAAAACACAAAACACCCAGCCTTTCCCCCTTAACAGGGGAGGTTCTGTCTGGTTTCAGGGCTGTGGGTCTATGCCTGATTTTCCACTTGTTAAGGGAGGACGCACTTGTGTTTCCGTAAACCTCCTTGCTGCACGTTTCCTCAGAGACGAGCTACCCGTGACTGCGCGTTTTTTCTCAGTCCCACTAAAGACTGTTGCTGCAAAAGTTCTGTTTGTCTTTTGAGTAGCCATGTTTGATTTCAGTCTCCAAAAGTACTTCGTGGAAGAAAGCAGAGAGAGAGGGCCTCCACTGGAGAAGAAAGAGTAAGGTGATCCAGTTGAAAATAATGCCCAGGGTCAGCTAAGACCAACAGCTGAATGGGAAGCTGTTTGCAAAATGCAGAAGAGAAACATCCATGACGCCTTTACGTTGGCGAAGGAGGAGAGCTGGAGAGTGAATTAATTGAACTTTAATGTGTGTATCCAATGTACTGTCTAGAAGAGAGGCCACTAGGTTTTTACCCAACTAACACAATTTGTTGTAGAGTCCTTATGACTTAATTAGCCAATGAGACTTTATTTCTTCTGAAAGACTTATTTTCCCAAAGCTGTTAATGCGTGTGCGTGGATGGAGCACTCTGTAATTTAAGCACAAGATTAGTCTAGCTTACAGGATGTATACGGAGAGGGGAATGCAGTACCTCTTAATATCTCCTCTTCGCAGTTTGATCGCTTGGTTAATTTCTCCCCAAGTTCTCATATCCCTGATGTTACTCGAGGAGCCTGCTTGGAGCATCTGCCGCCTGCTGCAGCCGGCCCTTGCCAAATGCTCGGAGCCAGCGGCGGCAGGCGGTGCAGCGCCAGGCGAGGAGATGGTAATTTGGGAGTTCCCCCTCCCGTTTTTATTACAACTCTGTCAGTTATTCCTCTAAGAATACATGTAACAAGAATGTGGGGCACACTTCTAGAGACATCTGACGGGACAGAAGCCAGGGCACTCTTTTAAAATCACCATCGTCCTTTTCTCTCTTCTCTCTTTTTCCTTTTTTTTTTTTTTTTTTTTACCGTTTCTGCTCTGATTCATCTATACATCCTGACTAGTCTATTTTATCCCTGGCTGGGTGGACCCTACTTGATTTTTTAACATCTCCTGTAATACTAAAAATTGACTTGGTTCTTTCCTTGAAAGAATTAAGAATTTATCTCCAGCTAAATCAGGGTTTCTCAGTGTTGGCTCTGTTGACATTTGGGGCCAGAACATTCATTCTCTGTACATGGAACAGTCCTGTGCTGATAGCAGCCCCATGACCTCTCCACATTGGACAGCAACAGTGCCTACTCCCAGCTCCTGGGACAAATGTAAATGGCTATAGACTTAGCCAAAAATCCCCAAGGAGGTGGACGTCACACCCAGTGGAGACCTAGAATCAATGCATTTCAAAAACACGTTCATCCAAATACAAGGTAGGACGCTTTGTGGAGGTCTGAGCCTCAGTGCAAGTGGTCCCCACACCAACTTTTTTCAGGTTGGTGGTGAGCTTCCCACGATCCCCACGTTCGTTGCTGTGACACATGCAGAGTTGTCAAGTGTCCACCTGGTGCCCGGAGCTCTTGGAGGATGCTGCTCTAACATGACCACAAGGAAGCTCACATCATCTTAGTTTTTTAGGTTAATGCTGGAATTCTGTCCATTCAAATAAATGATAATGTTACTTTTATATTTATGGAATAATAACCAAATTTTTGAAAACCAAATTTGGTGTACTGCCAAGGTTTGTTTTGTCAGAGCATAGAATAGATTTGGCCAGGGGAATCCCACGTGGTCAACAGGCAGTCATGGCAGAAGAGCAAAGGGAAAAGAGGACAACAGAGAGGTCATTTGTCAGACAAGATGGACCCCAGTCCAGGGCGAAAGTGGTCATTCTCTTATTCCTTACTCCTGGTGCAACAGTTATATATTCACTGAAACAGAGTACGATGTAAAAAGGCAAAATGTTCTATCAGTCCTGGAAACCAGGAAAGGTGACTTCACCGTGATGGGGTATGAAGAGTCAGGCAGTAGTGGTCATTGGTCCAGACGGTGATGTCGAGAGAGGGAAGTTTTGTGCATTCCCCCCAGTGTCCGTACAAGAAGATGGCAAGTGTAAACCTGGCCATCTCACACATGATGGTGGAGGAGAATAGGTTAAAACTTCCTATTCAATGGAAATGCCTCTTACAGTGATCAGAGAGTGAAACCTAACTGCTGCTGCTTTGAGATACCTGAAGCCCAGTGAGCCATAAATGGGTGGACAGTAGTTCAGCACATAGACCTACGGTGAGGGGGAGTCACTACGCAGAAGGCTATTTTAGGAGTCAAATAAAAGATTCGGTTATCAATAAGGTTAGACAAGCATGGAACTTCCCTGAAAAATAAATGTATATATGTTATAAATATATAAGAAATTTACAAAGCTAAAATCACAATGTGATAAAATACATTCTATATCCAGATGTTAAAATACCAGAATAAAGTTGTAAAGTGAAGATTCTTGAAGGTGCAAGTCCCAGAAAATGCTGCTAATGGGAAAGTTCTCTATGCATTGCCACAGGTACTGAATTTCTGGGTGTGAGGTTCTGGAATCTCCATTTTTAGCAAATTATCAGATGATGATTTCTAAGCACACTGAAGTGATGGCTCTCAAATGTAGGAGAATAAGCAGTAAATGGCTGAATATGTGACTATATACATAAAAATAGACTATCCTGTTCAAATGTTCATTTAACTCAAATATTGATCATGTGGGTCCAAATGCTTCAGTAGACCCCAAAAGGCAGAAATTTCAGTGATCAGAGTACTATAGAAATAGAAATTTTAAAAAATGAAGTACTAAACTGCCTGGTGGAAAAGATTCCCAAGTCACTAACGTAGATACCAAAACTGTAATCATGGGCTACTTACAAATCGACAATTCAATGCGTACATGAAAATGGGTGGATAAAGGCCAAGAATATGATTCAGAGGAAATTCTTTCCTTGAATGGTTTTATCACTAAACACGGAAGGCTGAAAATCAATTAAGCAACTCAACAAAAGAATCAAATCAGAGAATTAAAAAGGAATCAATAAAGATAAAAACATCAACAGAGCGGGAAGGATGGAACAGTGGGTGTGATCCATCCGAGTAGCAGTTCCTCTGCCCTGAAACAAAGCATTCACAGCGTTAATGAAGAAAAGAGGAGAGTGTACCAGCAAGGATGAGGAAACTGTGAGAAAGATAGCGCACGGCTGTGAGGCGCATCAGGGAACTTCACTGAGGTATCTGAGAAGACGCGGGGTCAGACACAGCGTGCAAGACTGGGTGCTGCAGACATGGGGATCTTGCAGTGAGACAGCGCTGTATTTGCAGACGTGGATGTGTGCACAAAGCGGCAAAGAAAATTGCCCTCAGAAGCATAATCGGAGCAACTTGGATGTCAGGTACCGAATCGGCTGCTTAGCAAGAACGATTATGGAGAGATTGGAAAAAGTCCTCAAATTATTCTTTTTGCTTTCTGCTTCCCTCCCTCATCTAAAGAAAATAACAGATTCAAGTCACTTTATGAACAAGTTTTTTTCTTTTTTTAAGGTATATAACCTTCATGTATTTCATAAATATGACTTAGGAGACAGGCAATTTTTTTACATTATTTAAATTTATTAAGAGTTTGAAGAAGAAAACTTATGAATTTTTCCTGAGATTAAAATAACCCATATGAAAAATGTAGATTCAATCAAAAAATTATATACCTATCCTGGAATCCTAGTAAATCTCAACACATAAGGAGCTCTAATTGTGTAATTTATGTCATTGATACATTACAGATGACCTGCCTGGGACACTTGATAAAATTCAACACCCATTTTTGATTGTAAAAAAATAGTCCCATGAGTTAGTGATGAGCACCTCCTTAAGACGGTGAACGGTATCGTGAGGAGTGTTATAGACATCACCTTCACTGGTGAGGCACTGGAGATGTTCCTCTGTGTCTTCATCTCTGAAAAGACAACAGTTGTACCTGTGGCATAGGAGTGCTCCGAGCACTTCATGAGTTTCCACACTAACAGATTAACCGTGGAAAGTCAAGCCTTTCTTTTCAGACCCAGCCATTGCAACATTATGAAGAAAAAGGAAAGTGTGCTTATTTTAATGAAGTCAGTACGTCATTTACAGATCCCTGATGTTCTCAGGCTTTTATAAACATAAAATTCATAGGCAGGATATTTTCATAAAAAACTGAATAACATCAATAGTAAGAACACAAATTCCATTGCTTTCAGTAGATTCTTAAAATGCATCAAGGACTACAATGGAAGACAACAAATAAGGTAATGTCTATGATCTGTGTAAGGAAATTGTAGAACTGTAGTGAAGAACTTGAAGGGAAACTCAAACTGGAGATCATTTTATATATATTCTTGAATTATGTTATTGAGGAAAGGATAGCTATTTAATAAGTAGTTCTGAGGAAACTGGCTTCTGATTCATCAGGAGAAGATGCGCCAGGTCGTTACCGTAAGCACAGGAACAGTGTCAAGAAAAGTTAAAGATCAAACACTTAAAACTCCATTTAAAAATGGGAAAAGAGTGGTAAAATCGTATGCAAGAAAAAGCAAATTGGAAATCAGCAATGGCAAGAGGCAAAAAAGAAAAAATCTCAAGATGTCAGTATGCTCAAGATAAAATCAGAATCCTAAATTAAAACAAAGGATTGACTGGTTAAAAAAAATGCTAGCAGCTTATCAACAAATGGATAATATTAATTATTAATTAGTAAT